AGTGAGAGAAAGGGAGCTGGGGGTGAGTGTGAAATGGGTGAAGGGACTCAACTGTATGGTGATGGATGGTAACTAGGCTTGCAAATTACAATGTACATAGATGTTAAATTATAATTGGCTCTACATAAGTTTCAGCATGTGCACCTGAAACTTATAAAGAGAAAATAATTCTATCTAGCATAGCATAAAAAAATAAAATATTTAGGAATGAATTTAATGAAAGATGTATAAGAGGTATACCGATAACTACAAAACATTGTTGAAAGAAATTAAGGACACTCTAAATAAATGGAAAGACTACCAATGTTCATAGACTGAAACACTTGTGTTAAGATGGAAATGGGAATTCCTATGATGGAAATTCCCAAAGTGATCTAGAGTCAAAGCAGTCCCTATAAAATCCCAGCTGGCCTCTTTGTAGAAATCGAAAAACCGATCCTAAAATTCAAATGAAAATAAATCCTTAATGGCCAAAAGAACATTTAAAAAAAAAGAACAAACAAGGAATATTCACACTTCCTGCTTTAATAAACTACCCAAAAGCTATAGTAAACAAGACAGTGTGATACAGCCTAAGGGTAGACATACAGAGAGTCCAGAAATGAACCCTCACATTCATGGTCAATTTATTTTCAACAAGGCTATCTAGCCTTTCAAGGGGCAAAAAAAAAGTAAATTATGGCAGGAAACTGGACAGACAATGCAAAAGAATGAAGCTGGTCTCCCACCTCACCTCATATACAAAAATGAACACAGAATGAATCAGACTTTACTATAAGAACCAAAAGTATCAACTCAGGAGTAAATATGTATAGATCTTCACCACCCCACATTTGGACATGGTTTCTTAACATACAACACAAAAGCACAAGCAACACAAGGGAAAAAAGATAAAATGGCTTTATCAAAAGACACTTCCAAGAAAGTAAAAAGACAATCCACAGAAGAGCAGAAAATATTTTCAAATTATTTAATTTATTATTTATTTCAAATACCGTATGTCAGATAAGAAACTTGTTCCTAGAATATACTTAAAAACTTAAAATAAATAATAAAAAGATAAATAACCCAATTAAAAACTGGGCAAGGAACCTGAATTGATATTTCTCCAAGGAAGATATACAAATGGCCAACAGGCACTTGAAAAAATGCTTAAAATCATCAGTCATCAGGGAAATGCAAACCGAAACCACAAGGAGATACCACTTCACACCCACCAGGATGTAGGTTACAATCAAATATTATATAATAACAAGTAGATTGTTGGTGAGGATGTGTAGAAATCAGACTCCTAATACACTGCCTATGGGAATGTAAAATGGTAGTGGCACATTGGAAAAGAGTCTGATAGTTTAAAAAGTTTAAATATGGAGTTACCATTTGACCTAGCAATTCCACTCCTGGAGTATATACATCCAAGAGAAATGAAAACGTGTACATGCAAAAAACTTTACATAAATGTTCATAGCAATATGAGTACTAACCAAAAGGTACAACCAACCAAATTGCCCATCAACTGATGGATAAAATGTGCTATAGCCATACAATGGGACATTATTTAGACATAAAAGGAGAAGTACTCATGTAACCACATGATGAAAGTACTTACGCTAAGAAACTAGAGAGAGAAAAAACCATGGTTTGATTCCGTTTGTATGAAATATTCAGAATAGGCAAATCCATGAACAGAAAGTAGACTAGTGGTTGCCTGATTGGCAGTGGGCAAATATGAATGGGAGGTTTCTAAAATTATCATGGTGATGGTTAGAAAACTCTGAACATACTAAAAATCGGTGAATCTGTAAGCTTCAAATAAGTCAATTTTATGGTCCGAGAACTGTTTCTCAATAAAGCTATTAACAGGGGGTAAGCTATTGACATCTGAGTGGTAGAGGCCAAGGACACCGCTAAATATCCTGTAATACACAGAACAGGCCCCTAATAACAAATATCAGCCACCAATATGCTGATAATGCAATTCCTTCTTATGAGGGGCTGTCCTCTGAACCGCATGTTTAGCATCATCCCAGGGCACTACCAATATGAGGTATCAAGTAGCACACCCCTACCACAGTGACAATCAAAAAGGTCTCCAGACACCGCAAAAGGTCCCCCGGTGGCCTAATTCCCTCCCCTGTCCCACCTTGTGAAGCAGTGCTCAGACGAAGAGGACTTTCCAAACTGTTTCTAAAACAACAAATGAAGTTCTACAATAGAAGTAAAGATCAACAAATCTGGTTACATTACATTTTAGTTTCTTTATATCTAAAAGAAAAAAATCTCCTGAGAAAAGCAAACACAAGAAAATATTTAACACTGCCTAATGCTGGTGAGGAAATAGTGAACCTTTCACACACCTTTGCTACTGACAACACAAACTATAAGATATTTACATCCTTATAGAAATCAATATATCAGTGTTTACCAAAAATAACAGAATGTTCATACCTTTTACCCATTAACTTATTCTGAGAATTTATGGGAGAAAAAAATCCTAAGTAAAAACTATGACATTTTTTTAAACAGCAAAGTTCAATAACGAAGTATTATTTTGATAAAAAACTATGCAGTCATGAAAAAGAAGATATCAAAGACTACATAATAACACATGAAGTGCCTGTGGAATTGCTAGGTGGAAAAAACAAAGTTTTTACGGTCAAAATTACTACAGCTATATAAATACATCACAAATAAATTCACAGGAAAAAAACTTGGAAAGGAATTACATGAAAATTGCTCTTAAATTGTGCATTCACAGTTTAAAGTGCTGGAGACATTTAAAAAACACTTTTCTACAACTGTATTATATCCTAAACTAACTTCAAACGCTAATCTTTTATTTCCATGGTATCTGTTGTGGATTATTTTTTTAGTCTTGGAATCTTACAAATTAAAAAACTGTAATTGTTCATCATCCTTAACCTCTTTGAAATCCTTCAAGAGTTAAAAATGCATCCCTAGGGGCTTCCCTGGTGGCTCAGAGGTAAAGAACCCACCTGCCAATGCAGGGGACACAGATTTGATCCCTGATCTGGGAAGATCCCACATGCCTGGGAGCAACTAAGCCACGACTACTGAGCCTGTGCCTGGGAGCCACAACTATTAAGCCTGAGCACCCCAGGGCCTGTGCTCCGCAACAAAAGAAGCCACAGCAATGAAGAGTCCCAGCACTGCAACGGAGGAGCAGCCCCTGACCCCCTACAACTAGAGAAAAGCCCATGCGGCAAGGAAGACTTAGCACAGTCAAAAATAAATAATTTTTTTTTTTAAGTTTATTAAAAAAAAATGCAGCCCTTGCTAAAAATCATGACTCACTGCTGATTGGAAATAGCAAAATTTAAAAATGCCCTTTTGAGTAATCACAAATATATGAAGCCACAATGATTTGAGAAGGATTTCCCATGCTTGTACACTTTTTAAAATATACTAAGTTCGGACAACTTAAACTCAACTTTCTGCATTGTAATTTAAACATCAAAAATATATGGTAAACATTCCTGCTGTGTGCTTAAAAATTAACACTGAAGATATGTCACAGGTTTCTACACAGGTCAACGAATCCTCAATGCCTTCTTTAAAAATGCAATTTCTAAGCTTTATAAAATATCAACAAATGCTTAACACCTTTATGATGGTAATTTTGGATCAATACTGAAGGGATTTCTTAAGTCTATGCCTCTTATGAAAACTGAGAAAGCCAGGGAAAGCTCACTGATAGCTTTAAGAGAACAAATTCTGAAAGGACCACTATATTCAGTACTTGCTGTAAGACAGTTACATACAAGCTCTGTATTACTAACATTGCCGACATCTCATCTCTTCTTTCTTGTCAACCTTGTCAAAATGAGTAAAAGAAGCACTTCGGCAAATGCCAATTTAAATAACCTACAGAAACCACGGCTCCCGTGTCTTCATACGAATCAATCACTCAAAAAAATAATATAGCAAGAGAAAATCAACAGCAGTACCACAGCAATCAAATAAAGTATACTACAGACATTAAAGAACTACAAGGATTTTTTAGTTTTTTTTTTAATGCAAATGACACTTTCTTACTGATCAGGTACTATAGGTATCTTTCTAAAAGTGGGGATGTGACCAGCTGGCAAGGAGATGTTGCACAAACGGCAGGAAGAAGGTACAGAGCTCTGCCAGCCAGCCTCAGCCATTCCCCTCTAGATGTTATGAGTCGTCCCTTTTAGTTTATGAACCTGCTGCCAAAGGAAGAAAGGGCCCAACAGTATACCTACCACTGACCTTTTTGAATAACTTCTTATTCATAATTATGCTAACTTACAAATAATTATGGGTCAAAGCTAAGTAAAGTGACGAGGTTTAACTAAAACTACTTTAGCACTTCTAATAAAGTCTCTTCCTTATCCATTCAACTTTCAAAAACTGTTTACACAAGATTTTAGATCTTAATAAGAAGCAACACTTGGAAACAGAAGTATAACTTATTTTCTATTAACTTCTAATTTTCTTTCTAATATAAAACCAAATCTATTTCCTAATTTTAAAAAGCAGAAGGATGACTCTTCATGGGAAAACCAGCTAAATCTATCTTTATTAAAATGTAGCCTGTTAGTTAAAATAGTGCCTACATTTTATTGTTGCACTAACAATTAGCCATGCTCTAACTTTAAAAGCAAACATAACGAATTTAAAAATCCACAATCACACTATAAAGTAATAGGTAACTAATCGTGAGATAGTTAAATATAGACCTCTGGTGACAATATGTAAAGTTTATTAATAAAATTCCACTAGAAAAGTATGCCCATTAAAAACAACAACCTTTTAGTGCTCTTATAAGCCCCTTACTCAGTAAATTTCAGACTGACATTTCCTTTGAAACTACTTATAGTACATGCATATAATTTCAGTTCGTCTATTATTAAACTAAGGTGCACACCATTACTTGAATAGAGAAAATGTCTTTCTATAGTAATAAAGTGAGTAAAAGACTACAGCAAAACTGAATAAAGACCAAATTTTACCTTTTCTGTATTGTAATACAGAGATTTCAAAGTAGTAAACAAGGGCGGGCAGCCTTTACTGAAGTTAACCCTCAGGAACTTATCCAATAGTTCTCTAAATTTTTCACCTAGGAATAAAAGTGTACTTTGTTAAACTTTGATTGATACAAACAGTTCTCAAAGTTATTTTATAAATAAAAATAAAACTTCTTCAGAAACAATGACTCCCCAATCCAAAGTTTAAACCCAAAAAGTTAGCATTGCTTGTTTGTTACCACCCAAGAGTGGACACCAGTATTTCAGTAGGCATGTTTATTTTCCCTAGACACAGGTTCAAAATATCTTCAAGGAACACTTCAAAAGACCGGCAAGCAAAGTGACTAGGCAGCTTTGAGGAAGAGTAACCTACTCTCCAGTCTACCTTTCCTAATGTCATTGACCAGCATAGGGTCAACCCTGCTATCTGACATCTCTGAAGGCACTCTGCAAACTTTAGAAAAGGCTTCTACTGTAACCAGCACCATATTTAAGTAGCAGTCAAGATGCCTTCTTAAACACTAACATATTTACAAACGTCTTCCAGAACAACTAGTGATTTACTCCATCATTTGTCCCACAATCATCTATCAAGTACCTACTATGTGCCAGGCACTGTTTCAAGTGTCCACGATATAGCTGTGATTAAAACAAAAAAAATTTTTAAATTCTGCCCTCATAGAACTTATTAACATTCTAGTGGGTGAGACGGACAATAAGCAAAATAACAAACATAAGACATCAGTGTCCTGGGGCATGCTAACATTAGAATTAAATAAATACCTCATTTGTAACATTAAGTAAATACACCTCCTATTGTTGCTAAACCCTTACCAAAAAATTTCAGTATCACTTTTTAAAAGCAGAAAAAACTGAAAAACAAAATTAATTTTAAATATGAAGGCTCTAACTTTTTGACAGTAAGGGTTAACAATGTAAGAGCATGGATCTGGCCATGCAAGAGAAAAAATGTATATATATAGGTCATGAATGGCTTAAGCTAATGTAAGACTACTGAAATGAACTCTCCTAATGTTTCTTTATGAAATCATGACATTTTACCAAAATACACAACAACCCAAGTGGTTTTTATCTGTTGTGACTGACATCATTGAACAAAACATGCATACTCAACATATTGCAGATGTCATAAAAATTAGGAGAAATTCAAATTTTATTGGATTAAAAATTTATCTAACATAAAAACAGGTTCAACATTTGTTACTTCAACTTACTATAAAGGCTGTTGTCAGATGATCTCTAATCTTTGTAACATAGGAAGTTCTGGAAAGACTTAATCTCGGAAAGTATTTTTGATTTTTAGGGAAGTAATGATATGTATTTAACCCAGAGTAAAATTTTGTGCAATCCTGATAACCCTGTGTAGTCTTGATAACCTTGAAATGCTGGGCTGGATAAAGCACAAGTTGGAATCAAGATTGCTGGGCGATATCAATAACCTTAGATATGCAGATGACACCACCCTTATGGCAGAAAGCAAAGAACTGAAGAGCCTCTTGATGGAAGTAAAAGAGGAGAGTGAAAAAGTTGGCTTAAAACTCAACATTCAGAAAACAACGATCATGGCATCCAGTCCCATCACTTCATGGCAAATAGATGGGAAAACAATGGAAACAGTGACAGCCTTTATTTTTGGGGGGCTCTAAAATCACTACGGATGGTGACTCCAGCCATGACGCTTGCTCCTTGGAATAAAAGCTATGACCAACCTAGACAGCATATTAAAAAGCAGAGACATTACTTTGCCAACAAAAGTCCATCTAGTCGAAACTATGGTTTTTCCAGTAGTCATGTGTGGATGTGAGAGTTGGACTGAAAAGAAAGCTGAGCGCAGGAAAATCGATGCTTTTGAACTGCGGTGTTGGAGAAAACTCTTGAGAGTCCCTTGGACTGCAAGGAGATCAAACCAGTCCATCCAAAAGGAAACTAGTCCTGAATATTCATTGGAAGGTCTGATGCTGAAACTCTAATACTTTGGCCACCTGATGTGAAGAACTGACTCCTTGGAAAAGACGCTGTTGTTGGGAGAGATTGAAGGTGGGAGGAGAAAGGGACAAGAGAGGATGAGATGGTTGGATGGCATCACTGACTCGATGGACATGAGTTTGAGTAAGCGCTGGGAGTTGGTGATGGACAGGGAAGCCTGGCGTGCTGCAGTCCATGGGGTTGCAAAGAGTCAGACACAACTGAGCAATTGACCTGAACTGATAACCTGGGATTTTCAAAAGATTATATACAAAATATGCCAAGACCACACAAAATATCACTCTGGGTTGGATATACATGATTACTTCCTCAAAAATCAAAACTAGTTTTAGAAATCAAATCTTTCTAGCACTTGCTCTGATATAAAACAAAGGTTAACAATATTGTGCTAGGCGGTCAGAGACCCTGTTGCTTACTTCCTGTGTGACATTATCCACTCAAAGATGAGGTAACACCACCAGCCTCAAGGGTACTTTTTCAAGGCTCACATGAGATGAAAAGTATCGTGTAAGCACACAATAACCACTCAATAAATGCTGTCTATCATACACATTGACATTTAACAGCTGTTGTATTTCTAAAGTCAGAAATGTTTTCCACATGCACTACCATCAACTGAGACAATAGGCATTTTATCTTCATGGCAGAGGCTACTCTAAAAACTCTTCAAATCTCAACCTACTCAGATCATACTAGCAAGATCTCATTTAAAAAACAATGCACTCTGTTCTCAAGTACCCACTACACTGAAAGCCTCTTCTCCCATTAAATTGTTATTTCAACTGTGCAAAAGGTCTTCTATACTGATACAGGACTGAACTCCAGAGAGAGTTAAGTGAAAAGAAAACCCCGTACAGAACAATCTATGCTACTTTTGTACAAAAGGGAGAGGAAAAGGGAAAATTACACATAAACCCTCACACACGTACTTTTGCTTGGCTATGCACATTTCTGGAAGAGTACACCATACTAGTAAATAATGGCTATCTCTGGGGAAGTAAACTTGGTGGCCAGAGGACAGAGACATGAAAAGACCTTTCAGTTAAAACCCATTTTGTATCCTTTTATTTGGAACTATATGAATGCAGTGTCTAAACCAGAAGCCTATACAGCTACTCAACTGCTCAGTCACATACTATATCCCAAAATTACTATTTACCCATCTCATCAATTTTTTTTGTATATTAAGAAAAACTTTCACAAAAGTAACTTCCCTTCTTCCTAATTACTAGGACTCCCATAGGCTTTTCTTTAGAGGAGGAATTTTAAAACCTGTCAATCATATGTGCCTATTTAGAACTGCAGCTTGTAAAACAACTTTTCTATCTTCAGAGATGCTATGCTAATTCTTCACTAGATGTAGCAGATTCACATAAAAATTGATATTCCCCAAAACCACCACTAAAATAGTGAACAAAAGCAAGATCAGACAGTATCTGATAACCTGGGAATTTATTCTAAATAATGGTGCATGTTCTCACTACAAAACAGAAATGATAATCATGTGACCTAACAGAGGTATCAGCTAACACTACAGTGGTAATATTGGAATACATAAATGTATATCAATACATCGTACACCTTAAACATATGATATGTCAACTATATCTCAATAAAAAACAAAAATAATCCAATCAAACAAAAATAAAATAGGAGCAAAATGTGATTAGCATTCTCTGTTTAACACTCTGGATTATCTCCTTCCCTCTTTCTCCCTTCTTTGGCCAGTGAAGACTAATACATCACGATGAATTAAACTAGGTATTTTGAAAAGCTCCGTTTTCATAGCACTTTCAGGCTGTTGGAGAATCTCCACAGACAGGACTTTGGTTGTGTTCACTAATCTGTTGGTAATAAACCTTTTTACTTAAAAACTAGAAAGCCTTTTTCAAAACTTGCATCTTCAAGTCCCATCACATTTGAGATACCTTTCTTATGACACATAAAAATATTTCTAAGCAGGCAAAAAACTTCATGAAGTATTCAGCTGTTGCACAGGTTCAATTAAGTAGCTGCACAATTTTATATATGGTCCCCAGAGCTCTGTAAACACATGTTTATGTTAGAACCTCACATGATGGTTGCTGACCCTGAAACCCAAGCCCTCAAGACCCCTCAACTGAGGCCTTGTTTGTGAAAAGACCCCTTTAGCAATTCAAACAAAGAAAGTCCTAGAGGGTCCAGAATCATTCCACTTTAACCTAGACCACACTTTACAGTCAACAGCTGGCTCCAAGCTATCTTTCAATAAAAATATACTTCCTACGTTATACACAAAAGGCCACCTATGGTATGATTACAATTATACAAAATGTCCCAAACAGGCAAATCCACAGGTACAGGAAGTTAGACTGGTGGCTGCCTGGTGCAGGGGGTGAGAGCTGGGAGTGCTAATGGGTATGAGTTTTCTTTTTGGAGTGATGACAATTCCCTGAAACCAGAGAGGAATGATGGGTGTGCAACTCCTTGGGCATACTAAAACACTGAGCTACACACTTTAAAAAGTGAATTTCATGGTATGTGAGCTACATTTCAACAAGCTGCTTTGCTGTTTTTGTTTTGTTTTTAAAGAAGATACAGAAATGTGAGTCCAAGCATCTTCCAGCAAACACTTACTAGGGAAATGCTCCTCTGAGCTCAGTACACTCCACCTTGGAAACTCACAATGTATCTACTGAAAGTTCTAGGAAATCCTGCACAAACCTGACTGCTACCGTTAACCAAGTTTCCCAAATTCACCTGACTGAAAATATCTCAGTACATCAGCACCCTCCCCACCAAGCCTATTAACATCCACTTGGACTTAATGTTCCCTTGAAAACATTAGGAAATTTGCCTAGTTCACAAAGTTAAAACAGAGATTCAGAGAAATACTATTCATCATTTATGTAACTAAGAGGCACTATTTATTTATTTTTAAATAAACTTGTATCTACTGTCTAATCCAATACATTTCTAAGAGGTATTTCATATATTTTTAAAGTCACTCTACTAAAAAGCTCTTAATTTCCATTAACCTTTTGATAAAAGGAAAACAACACAATTATTTAAACAAACATTTCCATTGTAAATGAGAAAATGCATAAGAAAATACATTCCCTAATGTAAAACAAGTATCCTCCAGTTAAAAATAAAATTTTTTAACGAGAAAAAAAAAATCATACAAAACAAAAGAAAATACTTTCCCTCCTCACCCATGCCTAGGATAGAGATTTTTAAGTCACAACAGCTTTCTAAGGTCTGACTTGTATCAAAAGACATGCCAGAAGTTTCAATAAATAACTCATTATCTAAAGCACCTGCAACTAAAAATAAAAGATGACTTTCAGAAAAAGGCACATGATGCCTTCTAAAACTCTCAGGTCCTCATGTCCTGCATAGTGTTGGTATTCCTACTAAAACTGGTAACCAGGTACTAGTCAGCCAGTCATGTAAGCATCTGTCCTATGACATGTACTCAGCTCTATACACGAAGGTAAGAAACAAACCCTCTCCTTGTACTTAAAACTGAGATTTACGTGTTTGTAAAGCAGGCCAGGAGAATCAGATGGCTTTCTATTTATTGGCACCTTTGAAGAATTGTGTAGACAAATCAGATGTATACAACCTGCATTACCAAAGAACATTAAATTTGTGATGGTTAGTTTTGGTTTTTTAAAAACATAACGGGTCACTATATGCAAGACAGCAAAAGAGACACAGATGTAAAGAAGACTTTCGGACAACGTGGGAAAAGGCAAGGGTGGGATGATTTGTGAGAACAGCATTGAAACATGTATATTACCATATGTAAAACAGACGACCAGGGCAAGTTCAATGCATAAAGCAGGGCACTCCAAGCTGCTGCTCTGCGACAACCCAGAGGGATGGGCTGGGAAGGGAAGTGGGCGGGGGGTTCAAGATGGGGGACACATGTGTTCCCGTGGCTGACTCATGTCAATCTATGGCAGAACCACAACAATGTAAAGTTATTAGCCTCCAATTAAAATTTTAAAAAAATTGGGGGGAAAAAAGGGTAAAAAAAAAAAATGATGGAAATAATCTAAAACAACTTCTAGAGGGAAATATTTCAAAAAATTTTTTTCTGGAATACAGATGTGTTGAATGAGACCTGTATGTTGTACTGTGTTAAACTGTAAATAATGCAATTTTGATTTATGCTGTGTTAGCAATAATTTTAAAAGGAAGCTGGAGCAAAAAAAGAAAAAGGCACATAAAATCATCAATGAAGTCATTAACTATCTCAAGAGCTAATATACTCTTTACCTCTCTTAAGTTCAATAGCAAATAAATTCAGCTACACACTAAAATTTAGATCAAGGTCATGAATACACTATTGTTCAATAAAAACAAACCATAAGAGTATATACCACAGTGCTCCAAATTACATAAAGTACAAAATGGGGGTTTTTGTTTTTGTTTCTAGGGATACAAAATACAGAGCTCTACAAAAACGATAAAAAGCAAAATTCAGGAACGTGGTCAACTCTGAGGAGAGGGCCTTGCACAGGATTGATAGATAACATTCTTAAACACTGTGGCAGGAACAAAGAATTCACAACTCTTTCTCTGAATTCATGTCCTAAAAAAAGAAAATCTAGAACTTCAAAACTTTTACCACTTAAATCACAATACCTCACATATAATTTTTCATCAATTCTATGGAATTTAATTTCCCTCCTAAATATGGTGTTTACTTTTTAAAGTCACATAAGAAAAACCATTTTATATAGATAACTTCTGACACTTAAAATCAATATAAAGCTAAACCAACATAAATACTCTTAACAACATATGTATAACAAATTAATAACTGATGACTCCCACCCCTAAGACTGGTGTACTCTCTTCCAGAAACAAGTTTTTAAAATGTGACTGGTGTTGAGTAATTTCAACAAGTAATTATTAGTGTTACAAATGATATCCTAATATTACCTGGGACAAGATTCAAAGGTAATCTTCTAGGTGAAATTGCTCTGGGGTGCTGCTTACTAATGTCTTCATAAATTTGAAGTCTCTCTTCTAAAGTGCCTATTATCAGTAAATATGTGTGAGATCAAAGCATCAAAACTTTTATCTATGATAAAAACTTTATAAACTTTAAAACTTTAATCTATGATAAAAACTAATAAACTCTAAAAAGTATGTTAAAAATTAAAAATCTCATGATCAATATTAAAACTGCTCTCAATTTTTGTAGGAATCACATTAGAAACTCTGTGGTAGTGAAATAATATCATCAGTCAATGACCATTTTAAATTCAAAGTCAGAGAAATCCAAAACTTCACAACAGATTCTACATCCAACTCAAATAATATACACACAAGACTCATAGAAGCAACATACTCCTCTTACATTCCTGTGTGCACAATCCATGGAAAAGAAAATGTTCCTTTAGAACATATCTGACATAAATCCTCTAACCTGTTGCTGCTGCTAAGTCGCTTCAGTCGTGCCCAACTCTGCGTGACCCCATAGACGGCAGCCCACCAGGCTCTGCCTTCCCTGGGATTCTCCAGGCAAGAACACTGGAGTGGGTTGCCATGTCCTTCTCCGATGCATAGAAGTGAAAAGTGAAAGTGAGGTCGCTCAGTCGTGTCCCACTCTTCATGACCCTATGGATTGCAGCCTACCAGGCTCCTCTGTCTATGGAATTTTCCAGGCAAGAGTACTGGAGTGGGTTGCCATTGCCTTCTCCGCCTCTAACCTAATATAACCCATATAAATCCAACAAAAGTCGGTAGCACTGAGAGATAAGCTTAAGAAGCAACAGTTTTAGGGTCATGACTGCAATATTTTAAAAGATAAGAATTAAGTTTCTAAGGTCACTTTGACAGTTAAAATCTTCAATGAAACTGTATAATAAAGAACCCCATTAGTTCATGTCCCCATCCAGGTGCCCCAAAAAAAGAACCCCATTAGTACAGACTTTTTAAAGTGGCAATTACTTCACCCAAATATTATGATATAAAATGTACCTCTAACAGAAAGTTTTATCTTCCCTCTCAGGACCAACCTAATTTTATAGTACTAAATACAAGATCTATAAGTAAAGTAACAATCTAAAGAATAAGTTCTAGGTCTAGTTTACTACTCTAAAATAATATCCTGTATAATCTACAGAGACTATTTAATATGAGCAATAAGATATTTACAGCAAATTTCAAGAAAAAGCAAACTCATTTTTAAACTATAAGGTTCTAGGTGGATTTTAATTCAGACCACACATACGTAATTATTGTAAGAATAACCCTTGGTGCTAGCAGTCAAGGTATCTCCACAGTAAATGTAGTATTCAGTATCGGGATTATAAACATAGAACTTTAAAAGTCAAGTCTGGTTTTATTTAGACTCCTTCCTTCCACCAATAATACATTTTGGAGCTCCAAAGTGGTTGAGTTTTTAAAAGTGGGATATGTGAAAAATTATTCTCACATTCTGCTAATGATCTGGGAACTTCATGAAATATTTAAGGAGCCTTATACTAAAATTTACAAGAAGGTTATTGCAAAATTTTAAAAAGCAGTTCTCATATTTATGCCTAATCTTGGGGAACAAAACAAGCTATGAGTAGAAAAACAAATTTCCCACTACCTCAGATAAACCAAGTCTTATAAACGTAGTTAAATTAAGACCAACCCACTTCAATGTCCTTTGTGAAGTCATGTGTTGGAGCTCCAGAACTTACCATGGGGGAGAAAAGGTCCTAAGGAACTGAGAACAATAATGGAATTAGTTTCATAATCAATGTATTTTATAGTGAGCATGGATCCTGACAGATGGAACACAGTCCATTCATTTTACTAAAACAGTTATTAATGTATGTCAGTAACTGGTAAACAAAAATCAGTTATCTCACATTTCCAACCTTCAGACACATGACTTTGTCCTTTTTTTAAACAAGAGATTACTAATCTAATCAATATTTTAATTTTCATTATTTTCACAAAAACAATTATGTAAGGAAAAATTTTTTTAATAATTGTGTTAAGTACAAACACGAAACTTGAATTTAAGTATACAAGTAATTAGGATAACAAAAAATAAATTTTTTCTCAAATTTCTTCCTACTGTAAATACGGGTAGTTACCTATTTACCATGTCTTTTAAATTTAAAAATTTTTCTATTTCATTGTCTTTGAGTTTCAGACTTATTTCATACTAGTTTCGTAATTATTTTAGCCATATACTTATTTACCCATGAGTAAATATAATTTTGGCAATATTAACTACTCCTAAAAATATTTAATTATGAAAATATTAAGGAAAGTTTGGAATAATATTCTAGATTCTGAAAGGAGTCAAGGTTATCAAATTTCAAAATATGTATTCATATTCTGTACAAATTAGCCTAGTTTGAAAGTAAAAAGATAGTTTTTATGCTGATGCTGTGTACAACATACTCTCAACAACACTGCTTTGGCCCAATTCTTATGCTTAGAGGTTGAGAGTAACAGTCCTGTGTAATTGTTTAGAAATATTAAATAATTATGACATTTCCCAGAAAGGGAATGCCCATTTTCTACCCCATCAGTCTAGTCAGTCTATAACTAACTGACGATTGGGATGAAGAAAGCTAAAATTATCTGTAAGTGTTCATCACTTAAATATAAATATAAAAATATAAATATCTGAGTTCATTTTCACTCCCATGTTTAACATGCAACTTTCCTAAATGGAAAAATTAATGCTAATATTAAAAATATACATCCTCAAATATGACTATAACTTTATATTTTACTACTTTTTACTATACTTCAAATACTAATTAAGAGAAGGTAGGAGAAAAATCATTACATACTAAGTTGCAGAGCTTTTTCCAAGCCTTCATAATAACACCAATTTTCTGCATTCCGATCAATCAAGTTTTTGAATACTTCACTTGCTTCTTTTAATCGCCCCAATTTCAACAGCATTTCCCCTAAAATTAAGTTTAAATGTCACATTCATTTTACTTAAACATTAAATACCTTTCTGAGCCCAGAGATTTTCACTAACCATTATTAGTATAGCAGATATTTATGAAAGACAGAATTTTATGTGCTTCCCTTCAGGGTTTGTAGTCGTTGTAGTTTAAATAACTAAAGATTAATTCAGAGTTTGCCTTCATAAATGAACCTTCATTTACATATTCTATTAACATTCATTTTTTTACTCCCTCCCACACCCCAAATATAAATATATGACATTAACTTGTTATAAAAATTTTTGCAATTTTGTACATTTTTATACACCCTTTAAGATAACTAAAGACACTCTATTTACAGATTGGTAAATAATTCCAACGAAGTATCTCTCCCTTCCTACTGCAAGATTTTCAATTCATTTTTCCTAATCAATTTTTGTGTTAAACAATTCTCTATATAATTCTCTTAGTGTCCTTTCCAGGTTATCAAAATCAGAGAAGTTTAACTCACAAAACAATAACACTAAATATCATTTCAGAGAAAAAACTACACAAACCAAGTTCACATGTGAGTCATCTCTAACACTCAGTTCCTTTACCTAAGCCATATAAATTGAAAGTGGGTATGGGAAAGAGAATCTAAACTTCTCAGATAAAACCAAATCTAATCAAGATAATGGGGAGAATCTTGAAAAAGAATATACCTCAACTTTCTATCACTAAGCTCTCCCACTTCCTGAAGAATTTGTTTCAAACAACCCTTTGAAATGCCTTCAGTCATACATACTATTTTGGCTTTTATCATCATCATATTATAGTAGTTATTATATGCATTATTTTACTATTTATGTATATTATATATTGCTCAATCTCTAGAGTAAGACTAACAGGAGTGGGAGAGCAGTTCAAGGGGGGAGGGCACGTATGTACAACTGTCACCAATTTATGTTTATGTATGACAGAAGCCATCACCATATTGTAAAGTAATCACCCTCTAATTAAAAAAAAGACTAACAGGTATAATTACCAGTTTTACCCCTTTCTAGTTTTGGAACCCTGAGTAACTTATAAAACTTTCAATTTTCATTTCCTTGCTTGCAAAATATCAACTGTATCAGTCTATTTTTATGATCATCAACTGAAATAATGTACTTAAAATGGTCAGCACAGTACTTGGTACAAAGTGAATACAAATAAGCATCTACTACTTCAAACTATAAATAGTATGTCAAGTATACTTCAATTTATATAAAAGGAGAGGGAAAAAAACAATGACTGTGCCCCATTCCTCCACAGGAGTAAAAGACAGCAGTTAAAAGGACTCAAAAAATGACACGAAGGAACCTTAAAAGGACACTGCTAAGTGAAAAAAGCCAACATAAAAAGGCTATGTACTGTATGATTCCATCTCTGATACATATTGTAAAAGGTACAAGTAAGGAGACAGTAGAGTGATCTCTGCTTGCCAAGGGTTGGAGGCAGGGAGAAACAAACAGGTAGAGCACCGGATTTTTATGGCAGTGAACCCACTCTGTATATACTACAATGGTAGATACATGTCATTACACATTTTTAAAATCCTAGGTGTACAACACCAAGCGTGAACCCAAATGTAGACTACAGACCTGGGGCAGGGAGGAGTCTGTGCACATATGAGGACAGAGGGTGTATGGGAGATCTGTGCCTTCCACTCAGTTTTGCTGCGAACCTAGAACTGCTCTAAAAAATAAAGTCTATTTAAATTAAAACAAAACAACAAAAATAAGTAAAGGCTCTGAAATCAGAAAAATATGCTTAGAAATTAACTCCTAAAAGGCTAGGCAACTTCAGGCAAGTCCTTAACCTCTCCTAGTTTCTTCAAATATAAAAAGGGATAATAAATAATATCCATGTTAGAAGTGATAAAATATTCCATGAAATTAAGCCAGTTAAGCAATTACTACTGTGAAAGACTAAATAAATCTTGGCAAGCATTTTTATTAAGCTTCAGAGTTCTGCAACTATATGGGATTTTAGTTTTAAACTAATCTTTAATTCAAATGACAGTCTATACAATACAATATTCCTCAGGAAATTGGTAACTGATGAGCAAAGTTAAATATAAAAAAGAAAATGTTTGACTTTGTTGAATAACACTTTTAAAAAACTATTTCTCAGGATTCTGTCTTAATTAGCCCATAATGAAAATAAATGAATCTTGCTTTCATGATGATCCCAGTGTCATCATTTACTAATCTCATTTTACTATATATAGAGATAAGTATTGGGAGAGGGGATGAATATGAACGTAGTATAACACACTGCTTTAGAAAATGGAATCTGGAGTCCAAATCCCTGCACTCAAACCCTGCACTACTCAACTTAATTAGCTGTGTAATTCTGGGCAAGTCACTTAACCTCTCTGTTCCTCAGTTCCTGATCTCTAAAATGGATATAACAAGTACATCATAGGGTTGTTATGAGGATTACATTAATTATTAATGGTTTAATAATAAAACTATTTAGAACACTCCTGATATACAGTCTCAATTAAGTGTCAGGACATGGAAGTGAAAGTCTTAGTCAGTCAGTCCTGTCTCTTTGCAGCTGCCAGGCTCCTCTGTCCATGGGATTTCCCAGGTAAGAATACTTGAGTGGGTTGTTGCCTCCTCCTTCAGAAGACTCTCCCTGACCCCAGGGATCAAACCCGCATCTCCTGCACGGCAGCAGATTCTTTACTGTGGGAACCACCAGGGAACCCAAATACAGCTCTTATTCTCATCTTTAATCGAGACCATTTTTTAAAAAAAGAAAAAGCAATTCAACTAACCTTTAATTTCTTCCACCAAAAGTTTATCACATATTTGTTTCTCATATGTTTCTATATGTTCCAAGGATTCCTGAAACAGATCTGCCTCCCGCATTACTTGATTCTGGTACAGGATGAGTTCACTATATTCATAGTCTATTTTGCTGGGAGGAACCTGGAAAGAAAAATAACCAAATAATCTTATTTATATAATAATAACAAAGCAGTTACAGATCTAACTGATTTCTTAGGAATGTCATTCACACAGACTTTAAAAAGCAACCTACAAGCAGTTACAAATAGAAGAGTTATTAACAGCAAAGATTAATATATTCTTTAAAACAAATGAAGGGATGGGGATTTCTGCAAAGGGAAGAGGTCAGCAAATCCTATTACCAAAGAAAAGTATAATAATGGGATTAAAATCCTAAAGAATCTTTCAAAAAAAAGAAACCTACTAGAATAAAGCACTTTAGCAAGGTGACAGAATACAAGATCAATATAAGAAAATCAACTATATCTCTCTATACCAGCAACAAATAACCCTACCCCTCCAAAAATTTAAAATAATTTCACTTACAACAGCACTAAAAAGAACAAACATTCAGGAATATATTTAAGAAACAAGACTCATACCAGAGTACAAAACACTCAGAGAGAAATTAAAGACCTAAATGCATCAACAGACATTTCATTCCATGTACATGGATCAGAACTTAATATTTTTTGACTCAGTATTTTTTCTCCCATGCTGATCTAAAAATGCAGTGCAATCCCTATCAAACTCTTAGTAAGCTTTCAGACACTGACAAGCTGACCCCAAAATTCAAATGGAAGCCAAAGGAACCCTACATGTACAACAGAATCATAAAAAGAAAAACAAAGTAGGAAGACTTCAAGTTTCAAACATACTACAAAGCTACATCAATCAGGACACTGTGGTTGGGAATGGCGTGAGGACAGACAGAGACCAACGGGTCAGAACACACACTTCAGAAGTAAGCCCTTATAGCCTGGTCAGTCAGTCTCTGACAGGTGTGCCATAAGACAGGGCAGTCTTTTCAACAATGATGGAAGAGCAATAAAATATCCATATGCAAAAAAATAGCCTTAGACACATATTTCATACCATATACAAAAATTAACTCAAAACGGATCACGGACCTACATGTGAGCACTAAAACTACACAAGAAATCTCAGAATAGGAAAAAAATCTTCATGACTATTTGTATAAGAAAAAAATTAGTAAAGTGCATTTCAAAATTATAAACTTTTCCTCTTCAAAAGACATCATTAATAACATGAAAAAACAAATTACAGACTATAAGAAAATATTTTCAAATGATATATCTGATAAGCTTGTACTGAGAATATAAAAGAAATTCTTACAACTCAATTGTAAGACAAATAACCCAACTAAAAAATGGGCAAAGAGTTACACAGACATTTATCAAAGAAATATAAATGACTAGTAAGAACATGATAAAATGCTCAATATCATTAGTTTCTGGAAAAATGCAGACACAATCAAAACAAATATTACTACATACCACACTGGGAGACTATCATCAAAAAACTGAACAGTAACAGGTGTAAGGAAGGTTAGAAAGTGGAATTCTCACACATTGCTAGTAGGAATGTAAAATGGTCCAGTCACTTAGAAGAACAACTCAACAGTTTATGAAAAAGATAAATATATACTTACCATATAACCAAGTAATTTCATTCCTAAATATCTACCCAAAAGAAATAAAAATATATATGTCCACACACAAACTTACACACAAACGTTCATAGCAGCATTATGCATAGCTAAAAGTAAAAACTACATATATGTCGATCAGTTGTTGAATAGATAAAGTGTGGTATATCTCCAAAATGAAATAGTATATAGCACTAAAAAGGAATTAACCACTAATACTACATGCTCTAACACAGGTGAATCTCAAAAGTATTCTAAATAAAAGAATCTAAAGACAAAACACTACATTATGATTGTCTTTATTTGAAGTTCCCAAAAGAGGTGTAAGTATATTCCCTAATGTTATAACATATGGAGAGCTCTGTTCTTTCATGTCTTCTCTGGTCCACAAGGCAGGGACAGAGAGGTCAGAATAGAGGACAGTTACCATGAAAACTCTGTAATGAGAATTACTGGGTAAATGAGAAGAGAAAAAAACATCCACCACTCTAGCAGGTAAAACTACTTTGGCTATCAAACCCATCATGTTTTGGGTAATGTGTCAAAAGAGAAAGTTTTCATTAAGAAAATACAGAGGATGATGTCAGGAGAAATGGCAAAGAACTCTAAAAATTCACCTCTCCATAAGAGAAAGGAACAGGTAAAAACTGTCAGAATCACGTTATTCAGAACTCTGAAAATGAACCAAAGGTTTCCCTGATGGCTCACGTGGCAAAGACACTGCTTGCAACACAGGAGACCCAGGTCGATCCCTAGGTCAGAAGATCCCCTGGAGAAGGGAATGGCAACCCATTTCAGTGTTTTGTGTTTTTTTCCATTTCAGTATTCTTGTCTAGAAAATTTCATGGACAGAGAAGCTTTGTGGGGTACAGTCCATGGTGTCACAATCGGACACAGCTGAATGACCATCACTTACAGCTATCTGGGGAGCAATTACTGAAGAAAAAAAGCTAGATCTTAAGACGACCAGTGAGTTTTATGTCATTTTAACTTCCCCTAGTCCTATCCCTGGTGGCTCAGATGGTAAAGCGTCTGACTACAATGCAGGCGACCCGGGTTCAATCCCTGGGTCAGGAAGATCCCCTGGAGAAGGAAACAGCAAGCCACTCCAATATTCTTGCCTGGAAAATCCCAAGGATGGAGGAACCTGGTAGGCTACAGTCCATGGGGTCGCAGAGTCAGGCATGACTGAGCGACTTCACTCATCTCACTAGTCCCATCCAAAGCTCTCCAGCTACACAGTAGCCTTGAGAAACAAGCTTGTATTCCCACAGCAGCTTGGCAGTCACCAGTGAGAAAGAATGAAGCTGGGGCTCTTTCAAAGCTTCCTTCCCAAGAACTGTAGTGAACTGACCTATCTCCTGGTTCACTGCAAGCCTCCAGGTACAAGCCTAACTCAGAGTGTGCCCAGAGCAAAAAAAGCATCAGGGGAAGGGGAGAGCCTAAGTGCTCATCAAAACTGATCACAAGGGGACTTCCCTGGTGGCCCAGTGGTTAAGAACCCCTCTGCCAATACAGGGGACACAGGTTTACCCTTGGTTCAGGAGATTCCACAAGCCGCAGAGCAAACTAAGCCGGTCAACTACAACTCCTGAGCCCACGTGCCCTAAACCTCCACAAGAGAAGCCAGTGCAACGAGAATCCCACACACCAAAACTAGAGTCGCCCCCTTTCACCACAACTAGAGAACGCCTGGGCACAGCAATGAAGATTCAGTGCAGCCACAAAGAAAGAAAAAAGAAAAGCGATTAGAGGCATGTGTTTTACCTTTATAGTGCCTGAAAGATGGGTAACAGTCAGGGTAGACAACAGACTACACACAGCCTTAAAGGAAAAGCTGGGAAATGTGACGTCCATAGCGGGCAGTGAAGTCACACACATATAGAGCTATACACAGGTTCAAGAATTACCTGAGAAAGTCCTAAGCTCTCACCTCCCGCTGACCTTGAGACTGCACAAGTAAGAGGTGAAAGTTAAGGCAGAGTTGTTAACTGCCTTCAGTTCAGTTCAGTTCAGTCGCTCAGTCGTGTCCGACTCTTTGCGACCGCATGAACCGCAGCACGCCAGGCCTCCCTGTCCATCACCAACTCCCAGAGTCCACCCAAACTCATGTCCACTGAGTCGGTGATGCCATCCAACCATCTCATCCTCTGTCGTCCCCTTCTCCTCCTGCCCTTAATCTTTTCCAGCATCAGGGTCTTTTCAAATGAGTCCGCTCTTCGCATCTGTTGGCCAAAGTATTGGAGTTTCAGCTTCAGCATCAGTCCTTCCAAGGAATATTCAGGACTGATTTCCTTTATGATGGACTAGCTGGATCTCCTTGCAGTTCAAGGGACTCTCAAGAGTCTTCTCCAACACCACAGTTCAAAGGCATCAATTCTTCAGGTTCAGCTTTCTTTATAGTCCAACTCTCACATCCATACATGACTACTGGAAAAACCGTAGCTTTGACTAGATGGACTTTTGTTAGCAGAGTAATGTCTCTGCTTTTTAATATGCTGTCTAGGTTGGTCATAACTTTTCTTCCAAGGAGCAAGTGTCTTAATTTCATGGCTGCAGTCACATGTGCAGTGATTCTGGAGCCCAAAAAAATAAAGTCTGTCACTGCTTCCACTGTTTCCCCATCTATTTGCCGTGAAGTGACAGGTAAATTGCCTGGCTGAGTGCTAAGGCAAACACCAACACAGAGAAATTTAACAATACTACAAGTTCAACAAATCGACAAGTCTCTAGCAGGAATGACCAAGAAAGAAAGAAGGCTACTAAAATTGAGAATAAAAGGAAGACTGTTACCACAAACTCTACAAAAATAAAAAGGATTATAAGGGACTATTAGGCAAAGTGGTATGCCAACAAATTAGATCACCTAGATGAAATGAACTGACTCTCAAAAAGCATAAGCTGCTGAAACTGACTCAAGAAGGAATAGAAAATCTTAACAGACCAACATCAAATAAAAAGTAAATCATAATTACCAATAATCTTTCCATAAAGGAAAGCCCAGGACCAGATGCCGTAACAGGTGAGTATTACCAGATGTTCACCTAAGAACTAACACCATCCTGCACAAAACACTTCCCAACTCATGCCCTGAGGCCAGACATAGATATCAAAAGAAGAGTACAGCTTAGTATCACTTATCCCAGCATTCCTCACTAATAAAGAAATGCAAATTAAAAGAATAATGAGATACACTTCTTCACATGTAGAAAACTAGAAAAACTATTAGTCCAGAAGACTAATACAGCTAACAGTAAGTATGTCCAGTAAGGACATAGGCAAATAATAACCACCAAACCTTGCTAGTGGGCATATAAATGAGTACTTCAAATGGGTAAAAATGAAGACACAGATCTGCCACTCTGCAGTTACAGTTTTAGGTATAAATTGAAAAGGAACTCACAAATATGGCTAATGAAACAGCAGAAAAGAATATTCACCATAGCACTAATTTTTAATAGACATGAAACAGTGTAGATTAACCTTAGCTATGGAACACCAAACAGCAGTTTAAAATGGCTAAACTAGCCCTACATGTATCAATACAGATGTACCTCTAGGAATGTCTGATTTTAAAAACTATCATTCTTGTAAAATTTTAAATATATAAAATAACAGTCTGCAAACTTTCATGGACTTAATACATAAGGTAAACATGACTAGAAATGATCTATACCAATTTCACAATAGTGGCTACCTCTAGGGAGGGACATGGGAGGACACTGGTTTTTCCGGAACATTTTAGTTCTTTAAAAAATAATTAAATCTGGAGCAATTACTGCAAAATGCTAACATCTTTTTAATTTCTCTTGGGACACACACTATATTTTTGCATTTTTACTATTTTACTGTTTCATATTTTTTCATTTTTCTATTTTTTACTATGTACAGTAAAATGTATTTAATACATTTATATAAAATATAAAGCAATATATATTAAAGAAATTCCCACAGTCACAAAACTATTTTCAGTTTCATGTATTCTTTTATTTATTCATTTGAATATTACTGAAATTATAGCATAAAAACATTTTTATATTGGGAATTCCTAGAAGTCCAGTTGTTTGGACTCTGCACTTCCACTACAAAAGGCATAGGTTCAATCCCTGGTCAGGGAACTAAGACCCCGCACGATGCATGGCATGGCCAAAATAAAAGAATTCTACATTATAACTTTTTCCAATTATTTCAAAAAATTTTCAATTTTTCCAAAGATCTGAAAAACTAATCCATGCTTGAGGGGTGGAGGCAATATAGAAGTCAACTATTTTAGTTTGTAGAGGAAGGACATGTTAAAATGAACTTCTTACTTGCTGAGTTTGTCTAAATTCTTCCAGTAGTTTTAGTGCCATATCATAATCTTTCAGTAGATGGTATGCAATAGCATAGCCAATCCAGGAAGCACGCTGAGTCGGGCGCAACTGAAGAAGCTGATACCTTGTCTCCTTAAAAAAAACACAAATCTTTTAAATTCTTTTCACTTTTTAAAGTTTCTCTAAAATATAATTCATCAGTTTTAAGACAACATACCTTTAATTCCTTTCTAATGAACTGAATGAACAAGTATCACTGAACTCCAGAATGAAACAAAAATACTGAGTTGGACAAAAAATTCATCTAAGATTTTCCGGAAGATGGTACAGAAAACCTGGAATGAACTTCTGGGCCCACCCAATACTGTCTATGTTCCTCATCTAAACTAAACTCTGGAATACTCCGTAACGCTCACTGAAAGACTGTCACTGAAAAGCTGCCCATGGAGTCAATGCTATCAGGCTGCCTTATAAAGTTACCTTTATACAAGAATGTCTTCTGGTAACTAAACACCTTAAAAGAGAGAATAAGACAGCTTTTAATGAAAGCAGAGTTTCCTGCATATTAAATTATTATATAAAACTAAGACCTACTTACATTGTTGTAACAGGCCCACAGACAGGCTGGACAGAGCCAGAGAAAACACTCAAACATCTGACTGGACTTTTCTAGCAGAAACACCACCGCTGCTCCTCTTAAGACAGCTCAGTATCTATGACATTAGGAAGAAAACACCAGAAATTCCACCTGGTTGCCAAGAAGAATCAAGACCAGCACAAAATTTTCAGACCAGCACAAAACCTAACCTCCCTGCACAACTCCAGCTTCATATATGTCTCCAGGTTTTAAGCAAGTCTAACTGCCTAAAGGAACAGGGTCTCATGAAAACCCTTAGCTGTAATGAGTTTTAAAAATGTAATGTTTAGCTTCTGTGACTGCCATTGGAATGCGTGCTGGCCATCTACGCTATAGGCCATGAGGAGAACCATAATTAGATCTTTCTTTAAAAAAGCTATCTTTGACAAAACGATTGCGACAATATTCACATCTAAGTGTCTGTTCCTTCTAGGAATATGGCATTAAGCTCTTATCAATCTCACCCCTTATTTCCACTGTTACTTCTCTGTCACCCCCCTACTTCATTAAAGTCTGACTCAGTTTTCATCTCTCTGTCAAATCCTGCCATTATCCTGGGCAAATCTAACACTAACCAACCAATAACCTATCTTCTTGGAGCCAAGATTTCCTTCTCTTTAATGATCTCCACCCTGTAGCAGGGACCTACTCCCACCACCACACCCTAGACCTTACTGCCACCCAGAAATCATAAATTCAGGTATCTCACCCTGGCTACAGCTCCTATGCTATCAACACTCTCACTTGGGACCTTCCCACCCTTGTTCCTGGATACCACCAGGACCTTGAGTCCTTCACTTCTAACCACCAGCTCTTTTATCTTTTATTTATTTCACAACCCTTCCTAGCAACCAGTCTCCTGCCAATATTGTTAATTTCTTTATTTCTAAAGATAAGTGATTTGAACTCTGACCAAACTTAGGCTGCTAAGTCCTAACCAAAAAGAAAAACCACACAACCTTGATGAATTAATTGGTGCCATTATTAAGTTCAGCAGAACCCTAGAAACTTCTGCAGAAGTCTAAGCATAGGGTAGAAGGACTTACACAGCAGAAGGGCAAAAGGAAAAAAGTTAATGAAAGAAGACTTATCTAAAGAGAACTATTAAGTCTCGGTAGCCTCCTTCACATGAGAAGGGGGGAGAATTCCATTTTGAACATGTTGAATTTAGGATACTAAGTGGGGTAAGCACCTGTAGATGCCCAGTAGAGTTGACAGTAATGGTCTGGGACTACATTTATGGCAATCCTCCTCACAATATCTTGTATTTTCTAACCCATAATAAAGCAAGCTAGTCAATCTCTACATTTATGTTTCTATTATAAAAGCTCTGTTTGCCAAATTTGTAAATATCAAGCCCGCAAAGAATATGGTACAATATTAGCACATAGGAGATATTCTAGCTTTTATAATAAAAAGCATTAAATGAATAAACTAGTTACCTTTTTGATCAATTTATGCAATTCTGCAACAATCACTGGAGGGGAGATCCCAAGTGACTTCCCCCTTCTACTATAGAATGAAATTGACGATCAAGTCTACATGATGTTAAGTTTACCTCATTCTGAATTCACATGCTTTTAAGTTATAGCTATTGCAAAAACATATACACTTAAGACTAAAATACTTACTCGATAACCTTCAAGGTCTCTCATTTGGATCTGCAACAGAGAAAGATCCCTCAAAATTTGCAGATTATCTTTATCTAACTTGAGGGCATTTCTGTAACATTTAATAGCTTCATCATATCTCTTATCAGAACGCTGCAAGAGTCCATATACATGCCAACCTATTAAGTTAAGGAAACAGACATTCACAGATACTAGAATATACTATGCTACATATTTAACAGAAAGCTTACCTTAACAAAATGGTATTTTGTTTGGGATTTACCTTAGAATGACCTAAGTAAGAGGGGGATAGTGAGGTGATAAAAGATGAAACCAGATCAGCCTTGATTGACAGTTGTTAAATTACTGAAGCCAGGTGACGGGCATATAGTATTTCATATAGTATTTTTATTCTATTCTATTTTTGGACATGTCTGAAATTTTTCATAGAATATTTTTAAGTAACCTTAGAAATTACTGGTAGGAATTCTTCACATTCCTGACCCCCAGTCCCTCACTTTCCTAGGCCAGCATCTCAACATGCTCTTAATATCAAACACTGTGTATTAAAACAGAATATATACAAAAATTGCAATTATCTTTTAAAACAAGTATATATCCATTCAATCAACTACAAAACATGTTTTTAATTGACTAGTGATTAAAGACTACAAAAAGTAAGTTTTTATTTAATGTAAATTAAAGTCTTAGCATATCTTGGAGCAACAAAAACTATCTTACATGCCCTTTCTCTTCACTTTGGGGTAAGCACTGGGATAATGAAATAAGTATTTAGTATTCTGAGAGAACCCTAAGCTAAATATGTAAAAAACACCATTAAGACTACTGATGTTCAATACTGGTCAAGAGCTAGATGATTTAAATGCAAAACATTAACATAAAATGGCAATATGCGATTCTGAATAAGTATACATATAAGCAAAACACAAATTAAAATAGTTTCAATGATCCATCCCTAAAGAATATTTTTGTTTTCTTACACACTGGGGTACTAGCCAAAGAAAAATATGATAAGTATGCAGTGAAGTAACAGCCAAGTCCTTGTGCAGCAGAAACCAAGTTGAAGAATCAACATGACAGTTATACTAAATAAAATCTATCTTATAAGTTCCTTCTGAATGTTCTTCTAAGGTTTCTAAAGGAAAGTTCAAGGAACTTTTAAGGAACACAAAGTTTACTATAAGGTAAATCATTCGGAATGGGGAAAGTATCACTCTGTTTATGGATGTAAATGAAAAAAACAATGGGTTTTAAGTCACATATAATTATCAAGGTTGGCTTCCCAAGTGGCGCAGCATTAAAGAAGACGCCTGCCAATTTAGGAGATGCAGGAGATGTGGGTTTGATCTCTGGCTCGGGAAGATCCCCTGGAGAAGAAAATGGCGACCCACTCCAGTATCCTTGCCTGGAAAATCCCCACGGACAGAGGAGCCTGGCAGGCTACAGTCCATGGGGTCACAAAGAGCCGGACACGATTGAATGAGTGAGCACATACACACAATTATCAAAATTACTTTTCTCTTACACTAAGTACAACTGCAGTAAATATACAGTGCATAGGGATTCTTTTTAAAATCCTCCAATAAATAAAAAACAAAGGGTAGGGAACAGATGAAATTAATATTAAAAATGTTGATAATATTAAAGCTGGACAATAGGTACATAGAGTTCATTAAACTCACTCTTTCTTACAGCTTTAAATTTTTCCATAGAAGTTTTTTGAGTTAGAAAAACTAGTAAACAGAAACAATGAATTAAATTAAAACTACTGAACTACTAGAAAAGGATACAGACATGACTCTTCACATCATTACGAAGTCCTTTACGAACAAATTCATATGCTTCTTCTTTTTTTCCTAAACAGTTCAATGTTAATCCTTTCATAGCCAAAGTCTCTGGAAAACATTTCAACCTCTATTTACCCATGAAAGACTCAAATTATTCTCTTAGCACTATTTTAATATGAGATCTACCAATGCATACAATATCCATCCTTTAATTCCTATAGTTAGAAGAACTTCTCTCCAAATAAAGTAAAAATATATTTATGTATCTGCTTAAAGTTTAGCCCTATCCTTTTCTGAAATTCCTTAGGCTGGAACTGAGTTGGTAAAAAGCTTTCTGAAGACTCTATAAAGGAAGTTAAGATTATTCTGCTAAAAAAAGGTAACACAGCAGGGTCCTGAGTCCTGTTGAGTTAAATCTACTGCAGCTGACCTCACCTTTTACCTGAGGTCAATTCTACTAAAAATCTAACAATCTGATCTATACTCCACAAAATCATTCAATCTATCTTAAAGTGATGTACACAATTTAAAAGTCACCCTACTTCATACTGGACCAGACTTTTTGGTTGCAAGTTTATTCCAACAAAGTCCACTGAGGCTAATTAAGATCAGTTTGCACTTGAAAAGCACAACACTGGACTGTGCGAGTGGTAACTAACCCAAGAATATGTTTAAGCTAGTTAGAGGAAGATTATATAGAATGAAATAATTCTCTCAATAACCCACAAGACCGAATTACAAAAGAAAAATGGTTGGACTCTGGTTTTCAGAATATGGTGATCCAATAGTTCAGGCTCCTATGATCAAACATCTTATTTTATCTATTTTGACATAATGAACTTCCCCAGAAGCTCCCATTTGGATAAAGGCCTGGAGAATCCCATGGACAGAGGATCCTGGTGGGCTCTAGTCCACAGGCTCACAAAGGGTCGGACACGACTGAGCAACTAACACTACTCTATTGCTAAACAGCTTGGAAATAAGCTTTACTTTCTAAAATGCTATGAAACAAAGACTTCTTTCCACTTCCTTCAAAGAATGCTTTAAACATTATTAGAAACTGAGTAGGGCCAGGCTATTTTCCTAATAAGATGGTCTCGAGAATTACTCAAGTCTAATATTCAGAGACCCAGTTGGCTGTCCTCTGCTATAGGACCATAACTTACATGTCTAACCTGACTCATCCTTTTACCAAGCACTGGTCACCAGCGAAAAAGGATTAAACAAGAAAATACAGACTTAACTGATATGAGTGCTAGAAGAACCAAGATAACCCAAATGTAAATCAGTAATATCCTATTTACATATGAAGATCAGCAGATATATTAACAATACATCTACCAAAAAATAAAATCCATTTGACTGTATCTTCATTCTACTTCGGTGCTGCAAATACTGTTCTAATTTTATACATAAGAAATCAAAGGTTAAGTCCTACTCAAAGCAACAAATGAAATCAGGTCTATAAAAGTAGATGTATATATGCCATTTATTTACCAACAGATCGACTATTTCTCATCTTATTAATAAAAGTAAAGTCTATAAATATATCTAAGCATGATACTGAAGGAAATAATCTAGAATAAGAATGATATGAGGCATAATTTAAAAAGTTAAACATGTGTGGACTCTAAGAGAGCTACAAGGCCATGGAAAGTGGGAAGTATTCTTCTTTCACTGTTAGAAATCCTTTCCATCTGATTGTGGAATTAGATTTTCTCAAAGGAATCTCATAGGTGATACCTCCATGTTCAGCAAATTTCGGATTTGAAAGAATCATCTTGCAAAATTTGAGGCCATTTTTGTATTGCTTCTGTTCGTAACATTTCTGAAAAAGAAAAATTATTATACAAAATGAATACACATGGAATAACTTCATTGTATTGTACCAATTCTAAATTCAAGATTCAAAGTTAGGTTTAAAACATGTGATGGAAAGGTTTTATACCAATTTAAAAAATTTATAACATGAAGTGTACCTCTGTTACTTACTGGTATCTGAGTATTTTCACTTTTACAGAAAATAAAGAAAAAACTGGGACTTCCCTGGTGGTCCAGTGGCTAAGACTCCCAAAGCAGGAGCCCAGGTTCAATCCCTGATCAGGGAACTAGAGCCCACATGCTGCAACTAAAACCTGGTGCAGACAAATAAATAAATATTTGAAAATAGATACTTTTTAAAAAAACCCTTATTGTCAATCAATACACTGTTATAGCTTTCTTTTATTCAAAATCCAAAAGCAAAAACATATGTGATCACAAAGAAAAATACTAGAAACTGTATTAAAAGCCTTTGCTACTTCAAGAATGGAACCAAAGCATATACACAAAAAAATACTGCTATTTATTGGGCCACTACTAAGTGTCTGTACAAAACTTGTTATGACTCACAACAATTCCTTAAGGTAGGTGTCATCATCTCCAATTCACAGATGCAGAAACTTAAAAGTTCATTAAATTTAATAGTGGCTCAGCTTAGTTGCAAACTCTGGGTTGACTTCAAAGACCATGGTCTTTCCATCAATTATTCTAACACAAACGTAAGCAACCTCTTTATTCCTAAATGCCACCAGCTAGGCTAAGTAACCATGCCTGGCCTCCGCAGTCATTAACTACAAGAACACTGCATCTTTAACTCAACCTCTCACCTGTGGTTATAGGTTATTTTTCCTAGTACTCAGCATGCCAAGCTCACCCCCATCTCAAGGCCTCTGCCCCTCTGAAACATTGTTCTTCCCCAGATCTTCCCATGGCTGGTTCCTTATGATCAAGTTTTCTACATCATCTACCCGGCCACTCTAATACTGCCAGCCTCTTACTGTACCCCTCCACACACACACACACTCTATGATACTGCTCTATTTTCTACACAGTGCTATCATTTCCTAACATTATTACTTATTTGTTTTTACTTGGTGTCTGTCTTTCCCATCATATGGTAGGCTCCATGAGAACAGGGATCCTGACTGTCTTAAACATGGCTGCATCCTCAGATTCTAGACAAATAAGTACTGCTCAACACAGTCTATGTGTACAGTCTTCTAAGTTCAAAACAGAACAGGACCCCCAAAGGAGAAGAAAGATTAATTCTGGCCAACAGGGGTGACATCTGGAGGGGAAAAGTAGAAAAGTATTCATAGAAAAAGTCTTTGAGGCTTATTGATGGCCTCTGTTCATGGGGTTTTCAAGGCAAGAATACTGAAGTGGTTTGCCATTCCCTTCTCCAGTGGACCACATTCTGTCAGACCTCTCCACCATGAGCAAACAAATGTACTCATCTCACATGCTAGTAAAGTAATGCTCAAAATTCTCCAAGCCAGGCTTCAGCAATACGTGAACTGTGAACTTCCAGATTGTTCAAGCTGGTTTTAGAAAAGGCAGAGGAACCAGAGATCAAATTGCCAACATCCACTGGATCTTTGAAAAGTAAGGGAGTTCCAGAAAAACATCTATTTCTGCTTTATTGACTATGCCAAAGCCTTTGACTGTGTGGATCACAATAAACTGTGGAAAATTCTAAAAGAGATGGGACTACCAGACCACCTGATCTGCCTCTTGAGAAACCTGTATGCAGGTCAGGAAGCAACAGTTAGAAATGGACAAAAAACAACAGACTGGTTCCAAATAGGAAAAGGAGCACATCAAGGCTGTATATTGTCACCCTGCTTATTTAACTTACATGCAGAGTACATCATGAGAAACGCTGGGCTGGAGGAAGCACAAGCTGGAATCAAGATTGTCTGGAGAAATATAAATAACCTCAGATATGCAGATGACACCACCCTTATGGCAGAAAGTGAAGAGGAACTAAAGAGCCTCTTGATGAAAGTGAAAGAGGAGAGTGAAAAAGTTGGCTTAAAGCTCAACATTCAGAAAACTAAGATCATGGTATCTTGTCCCATCACTTCATGGGAAATAGATGGGGAAACAATGGAAACAGTGTCAGACTTTATTTTGGGGGGCTCCAAAATCACTGCAGATGGTGACTGCAGCCATGAAATTAAAAGGTGCTTACTCCTTGGAAGGAAAGATGACCAACCTGGATAGCATATTAAAAAGCAGAGACATTGCTTTGCCAACAAGTCAGTCTAGTCAAGGCTATGGTTTTTCCAGTGGTCATGTATGGATGTTGAGAGTTGGACTGTCAAGAAAGCTGAGTGCCGAAGAATTGATGCTTTTGAACTGTGGCGTTGGAGAAGACTCTTGAGAGTCCCTTGGACTGCAAGGAGATCCGACCAGTCCATCCTAAGAGAGATCAGTCCTAGGTGTTCATTGGAAGGACTGATGCTGAAGCTGAAACTCCAATACTTTGGCCACCTGACGCAAAGAGCTGACTCATTGGAAAAGACCCTGATGCTGGGAAAGATTGAAGGCAGGAGAAGGGGACGACAGAGGATGAGATGGTTGAATGGTATCACTGACTCGATGGACATGAGTCTGAGTAAACTCCGGGTGTTGGTGATGGACAGGGAGGCCTGGCGTGCTTCGATTTATGGAGTCGCAAAGAATCGGACACAACTGAGAGACTGAGCTGAACTGAACTCATGGCCTCTGGGGGAGAGATAGGAAAACTCTGAATTTTGAATCATGCTAACATATTACCCATTCCAAAAATATTTTAACACAAAAATTTTAAAAAATAACAATCTGAATCTAGTCACAGGAGTTAATCTGACAAAGACAAGAAGAAAAAAACAAGCAGAAGGAACTACTGGGGCAGAGGAGAAAAAGAGAAATATTGTTTTTTTCTGCCTTACCAAGTATCTGAAGTAATAATATCATACTACCAACAACAGGAATAATAATAGTTAACACTTCCTGGAAGCATTTTCTGTGTGTCAAGTGCTTTTCTCATTTACTCTTTACTTAAATCCCAAGGAAAGCCTATGGGATACATGTAATCTCCATTTAGATGGAGACTGAGGCATAGTTACTGAGTTTACACAGCTGGTGTCAGAGCCACAATTCAAACCCAGGTAGTCATCTCCAGTATCCAAGCATTCAGGTTAAAGGAAAGTCTTATTAACTTCAATAAGGAATATATACTAAGTAGAAAAAACAGACTGTAGTTTCAACTTGGCTACTAACCAGACAGAGACCCCTAGACTGTCATTTACTATTCCTGGGTTTGACCGTTTCCTCTGTAAAGAGCAATGGAGTAGTTCCAGAATTCAACAAAACATAATGCTAACAGCCAGTTTGGGGAAATAAGACAGGCAGGAACAAGTCATGCAAACCATGTTGATAAGCCACCTGGTAAACATGTTTGGATGTTTAAATACAATGAAAAGTAACATTGAAAAGTTTCTGTTGGTGGCAAAGCACTTTGGTCCACAATAAAACTAAAAAATAATTCTATGACAGGCTTCTGAAAACTATGGAATTTGTCCCAGCCAAGTTTTACCCACACTTACTGCAATTTGAGATGATAAAATAATTCATTTTGCAGCATCTTCCTGAAGTCATGTAAGCTTATAAAAACATTACATACTCATTAAAAATGGTCAGCATTTCCCAATTGGGGGGACAGGGCGGGGGGAATAAAGTGAACTCAGCAGCAGTTTTAACTTTTTTTTACTAGAATATAATAAATTAGTTGTTTCTCATTATGCTCCTGATGACATGATTTGAACTAGAAAATATCCACATAGACCAAAAAAAGCGTTGTCATCTTTCATGTACAGTGCAAATATCCTGAAATCCAACTAGCAATTTATATAGATGATTTTTCATTGACATGTTTCAGCTTCCTTAAACAGACAAAAAAAATAACAGACCAGCTCACCCAAAAGGGGCAAAAAATTCACTTCTCCAACTCCACATTGTGAAAAATATAAAGATATAAGAAAAATGAAAGTAAAATAAAGAAAAAATAAAGGCAAAGTCGAAAGAAGCATTCTGCCACAATTAGATTTTTACACTCATTCCCATTATTTGCTCAACACTAGCTCAGTTCAGTCGCTCAGTCGTGTGCGACCCCACGGACTGCAGCACGCCAGGCCTCCCTGTCCATCACCAACTCCCGGAGTTTACCCAAACCCGTGTCATTGAGTCTGTGATGCCATCCAACCATCTCATCCTCTGTCGTCCCCTTCTCCTCCTGCCCTCAATCTTTCCCAGGATCAGGGTCTTTTCAACTGAGTCAGCTCTTCGCATCAGGTGGCCAAAGGATTGGAGTTATCAGCTCAACACTAAGCACCATGTAAAATTAAGATTTAACATTTTCACCGCATTTTCCACGTTGCTTCCCAGGTTTCTTTCTGCTACAAAACAAAGTGAATGCTCCCTCAAGTGCAACGCCAGCCTACCCCAAGAAGCTTTCATCACTTAGCTCACCGCAGGGCCTGTGCGAGTTAAATGCAATCCGAGTTCCCTGTGACCAACGAGAGTGGTGGGATTGGGCGGGGGGAGAGGTTGAAAAGGGAGGGGACATATTATGACTGATTTACGTTGCTATATAAGAGAAACCAACACAACATTATACAATAATTATTCTCCAATTAAAGTAAAAATAACATTTTTTTAAAAGGCAATCAAGAGTTGTGCTCGAATTTATAACTTAAAAATGGCAGTTCCAGTCACTAACTTCTCAGAGGGTGAACACTGGCCACCAAAAGAAGACAAACCTCTCGGTCAAAGGGAGGGTCGGTCTCCGTCCGAGGTTTTAGCTCCCGGGAACCGGTATAAACCAGATCGCGCCCCGCCACAGACTCGCTCCCTCTCTCCTGGGTGTCAGCGCGCGCTGTGCAACAGATTCCACACGGAGCAGCGAACCAGCACCCCTGGGCGCGGGGGTGACGGCTAAAGCTAACTGCGGAGTACCAGGAGCGAGGAGCCGGCGAGGCCCGCCGCCAGGCACCGCAGCGCGCGGGCCGCTCCCCGCGCCCAGGCCCAGGGTGACTGCGGCGGGAAGTTCCTGGAAGGACTGTCCACAGAGAGAGACACGACAGCGGGGAGGCAGCCCGGCAAGGCGGGCCTGCGGGTTTCCACAAAAACAAAGAACCCGAGGGGGCGGGGCGGCCTGGCCGCGCCGGGCGCGGGGCCGCCGGCGGCGCGGTCAGCGGCCACTCACCAAGATGCGTTTGAAGAGGTTGCTCTCCTTGGGTGGCAGCTGCACGTTGGGCATGGCGGCCGGAGGGGCAGGCTAGGTGCCCCCCGCGCACCGCCTTGCGGGACGGGCACCAGGGCAAGCCGCGGCTGTGAGTCGGGCTGCGAGCCTCGCATCAGCTCATTGGCCGAGAGCTGGGGCTGGGCGGGCCGGCTAGGGCTGTTGGCCAGCTCTGACAGAGGAAAGGGGAAGGCGGTCCGGACAGGACCCCGCCGCAAGCCCAGGCTTGCTTTGGGACCCGCGGCGCGAGTCCCGCGCACGGCAAGATGGCGGTCGGGGCCCGCCCCCCTCGAGCGTGGCGGCGCGCGCATGCGCCCGCGGAAAGGTCTAGCGGGGCGTGTGTGAGGCGGTCTCCTCCGGCACCTGCCCCGCGCGCCAGCGGTGGGAGTTCCCCGCTGGCGTCGCTCACAGATCGCTGGCTTGTGTTGTGCTCTGACGGTTACGTTTCAGGCCCAAGAGGGTGTTAGTTATATCAGAGCCTGTGTTTTTTGGTTGTTGTTGTTGTTGTTGTTGTTGTTTTCTTCTGTCCAGTGAGGAATTTAAACAGCACTGGACTCAAGAAGTATCTTGGTGTAGGGCAAACTTGTTTCCCATCTTTTCCCCCAGCGACTTAGACTTCAAGAGAAGCCTTTTCTTTTCTGTGTGGACCAAACAAGTATTCACAACGTATGTGAGGTCATTGGACAGGACTTGTAATGGGCTGATGTGAAAGCACGTTTGAAATTCAAAGAAAGATACTCTCACCAGTATAGAATACCTAACTGTCAGAATTATGGTGGTGTCATGCGGGCCACTGATTCTCCAGGTCTACCTAGGCTTTCTCCTCAGCTCATTCTCCTTGGTACAAAACCTATGATAATGGAAGGAAGAAGATTCAAGCCCAGGGTGTTCCAACTCAGGAGTGTTTTTCTGACATAAAAGGCAGTATAATGACAAGTATATCTTTCCTTTTCTCCTTCGCTTTTTGCTTCTCCTTTTCACAGCTATTTGTAAGGCCTCCTCAGACAGCCATTTTGCTTTCCTGCATTTTTTTTTCCTTGGGGGTGGTCTTGATCCCTGTCTCCTGTACAATGTCATGAACCTCTGTCCATAGTTCATCAGGCACTCTGTCTATCAGATCTAGTCCCTTAAATCTACTTCTTCCTTCCACTGTATAATCATAAGGGATTTGATTTAGGTCATACCTGAATGGTCTAGTGGTTTTTCCCTACTTCAATTTAAGTCTGAATTTCACAATAAGGAGTTCATGATCTGAGCCACAGTCAGCTCCCGGTCTTCTTTTTGCTGACTGTACAGAGCTTCTCCATCTTTGGCTGCAAAGAATATAATCAATCTGATTTCGGTGTTGACTGTCTGGTGATGTCCATGTGTAGAGTCTTCTCTTGGGTGTTGGAAGAGGGTGTTTACTATGACCAGTGTGTTCTCTTGGCAAAACTCTATTAGCCTTTACCCTGCTTCATTCTGTACTCCAAGGCCAAATTTTCTCCAAGCAAAGGAGAAAAGGAAAGATATACCCATTTGAATGCAGAGTTCCAAAGAATAGTGAGGAGAGATAAGAAAGTCTTCCTCAGTGATCAGTGCAAAGAAATAAAGGAAAACAATAGAATGGGAAAGACTAGAGAACTCTTCAAGAAAATTAAAGATACCAAGGGAACATTTCATGAAAAGATGGGTTCAATAAAGAACAGAAATGGTATGGACCTAACAGAAGCAGAAGATATTAAGAAGAGGTGGCAAGAATACACAGAAGAACTATACAAAAAAGATCTTCATGACCCAGATAATCACGATGGTATGATCACTCACCTAGAGCCAGACATCCTGGAATGTGAAGTCAAGTGGGCCTTAGGAAGCATCACTACGAACAAAGTGAGTGGAGGAGATGGAATTCCAGTTGAGCAATTTCAAATCCTAAAAGATGATGCTGTGACAGTGCTGCACTCAATATGCCAGCAAATTTGGAAAACTCAGCAGTGGCCACAGGACTGGAAAAGGTCAGTTTTCATTCCAATCCCAAAGAAAAGCAATGCCGAAGAATGCTCAAACTACCACGCAATTGCACTCATCTCACACGCTAGCAAAGTAATGCTCAAAATTCTCCAAGCCAGGCTTCAACAGTATGTGAACCATGAACTTCCAGATATTCAAACTGGATTTAGAAAAGGCAGAGGAACCAGAGATCAAATTCCCAACATCGACTGTATCATCAGTAAAGCAACAGAGTTCCAGAAAAACATCTATTTCTGCTTTATTGACTATGCCAAAGCCTTTGACTGTGTGGATCACAATAAACTGTGGAAAATTCTGAAAGAGATGGGAATAACAGACCACCTGACCTGCCGCTTGAGAAATCTTTGTGCAGGTCAGGAAGCAATAGTTAGAACTGGACATAGAACAACAGACTGGTTCCAAAAGGGAAAGGAGTACATCAAGGCTGTGTATTGTTACCCTGCTTATTAACTTATATGCAGAGTACATCATGAGAAATGCTGGGCTGGATGAAGCACAAGCTGGAATCAAAATTGCTGGGAGAAGTATCAATAACTTCAGATATGCAGATGACACCACCCTTATGGCAGAAAGCAAAGAAGAACTAAAAAGCCTCTTGAAGAAAGTGAAAGAGGAGAGTGAAAAAGTTGGCTTAAAGCTCAACATTCAGAAAACTAAGATCATGGCATCTGGCCCCATCTCTTCATGCCAAATAGATGGGAAAACAATGGAAACAGTGAGAGACTATTTTTTTGGGCTCCAAAATCACTGCAGATGGTGACTGCAGCCATGAAATTAAAAGACGTTTACTCCTTGGAAGGAAAGTTATGACCAACCTAGACAGCATATTAAAAAGCAGAGACATTACTTTGCCAACAAAGGCCCATCTATTCAAGGCTATGGTTTTTCCAGTAGTCATGTATGGATGTAAGAGTTGGACTATAAAGAAAGCTGAGCACTGAAGAATTGATGCTTTTGAACTGTGGTGTTGGAGAAGACTCTTGGGAGTCCCTTGGACTGCAAGGAGATCCAACCAGTCCATCCTAAAGGAGATAAGTCCTGGGTGTTCATTGGAAGGACTGATGTTGAAGCTGAAACTCCAATACTTTGGCCACCTGATGCAAAGAGCTGACTCATTTGAAAAGATCCCGATGCTAGGAAAGATTGAAGGCGGGAGAAGAAGGGGATGACAGAGGATGAGATGGTTGGATGGCATCACCGACTCAATGGACATGAGTTTGAGTAAACTCTGGGAGTTGGCGATGGACAGGGAGGCCTGGCATGCTGCAGTCCATGGGGTTGCAAAGAGTTGGACATAACTGAGCGACTGAACTGAACTGAATGACAGAGATATGTGACTCTGGATATGATCTGGACATACATCGTTAGTAAGAATAGCCATATATCCAATGTAGGTTTTATATTAAGGGATATGGAAATATCAGGTACATAAACTTATTTATACTTGTTCTGGATCGTGATGTGTGCATATTTATGAGACTAAGGGTAATTGATGCATGGTTGCATTTAATGGGCACTAGGTGGCTTAGTGGTAAAGAATCTGCCTGAAAAAAAAAAAAAAAGAAAGAATCTGCCTGCCAGTCAAGATGATTCTGTGGGGCACAAGTCCACCATCTTCCCAGTCTGCCAGCTTTCCAAATAAAATCACTATTCTTTGGCCCAACAACCCCTCTCTGATTTATTAGCCTATTGTGTGGTGACCAGTATGAGCTTGAAGTTGGTAACAACTCTTATTTTTGTTAATGACACCACTCCTGTAGTTAAAATTTTCTGATTAACTTTTTGACTTCCCTCTGTTATTCTCCACATTCAAGTTGCCTAGTCCTTTAGATTCTAGATCTGTCATGTTTCTCCTTTTCCTCCTCTGCTTTCTATTCCCACTCCACCTTGAGTATTGCAAATACCTTACAATTGCAAAACTGAATAACCGAATAACTCTACTCTAATGTTCTCTCCTCCATTTCATTTTGCACCTTGCTCTAGATTTGTTCTTTCTATCCAAAACTCTAAATGGGCCACTCAGTGTATCAAAACTTTCAATGTCTAGAACTCTGTCAGTTGTCTGTAACTCCCTCGTGGTCTAGAACTCGGTCTGTTCTCAGTTTCCTTCCACTTTGCTCACACAATTACCTTGTATAGGAGTGGAACCAGTGGGAACATCAGATCCAGTATTTTCTCAATTCCATACTTTCACTCAACCTGATAGTTTTATGAAATTGTTCTTCCATTATCCTAATCTTGATCTTCCTAAATCTCAAACGACATGACTTTCATAAGATCTTTCCAAGTCTGTCCGATAGATCTAATCTCTGTCTTCTGTGTATTTACAAGTACTTTGTCCTTTTATGCCTATGTCTTACTCTGTTTTATGTTTTATAAATTTTAAATTATTCAAAGACAGTGGTTGTCTACCTTGGCTTGCACTTTTGTGTCACCTAAGAAGCTTAAAAATCTACTGGTATCTGAGTCCCACCTCCATAAATTCTGATTTTATTGAGGTAGGGTGAAGCTGCTGCTGTTGCTAAGTCGCTGCAGTTGTGTCCGACTCTGGGCGACCCCGTGGATGGCATCCCACCAGGCTCCCCCGTCCCTGGGATTCTCCAGGCAAGAACACTGGAGTGGGTTGCCATTTCCTTCTCCAGTGCATGAAAGTGAAAAGTGAAAGTGAAGTCACTCAGTCGTGTCCGACTCTTAGCGACCCCATGGACTGCAGCCCACCAGGCTCCTCCGTCCATGGGATTTTCCAGGTGAGAGTACTGGAGTGGGGTGCCATTGTCTTCTCTGGTAGGGTGGAGATTGGTATTTTAAATCTTTCCAGGTGACTGGAATATGCAACCAGCATATTGAAAACCAATGCTTCAGGGCATTTCATCCAAATCCAGGCTCAATCATGCCAGCTTGAGCAAGCTCTGGGAGTTGGTGATGGACAGGGAAGCCTGGCGTGCTGCAGTCCATGGAGTAGCAAACACTTGAACATGGCTGAGTGAGTGAACTGAACTGAAACATGC